ACAGATGCACACATATTACCACAGGTGCAGAGATAGTATAACAGGTGGAGATATAACATCCCAAGTGAAGGGGCAACATCACACCCTTATACACTTCCCATAATATCAACCATATGCAAGATGTAAAATATGTGTAATTGTGCATACTAAGGTACTCACAAACGTATCCCGGAGATTTTTGTGACAGGGAGAGAGAGAGAGAGAGAGAGAGAGAGAGAGAGAGAGAGAGAGAGAGAGAGAGACTCGCAGGAGAAGTAACAGATATCGACGCAGCGGTCGGCAGCAGCACAAACAATGGCCACCAGCAAACAAGGCCCTCAACCTCCGATTAACGTAATGAACACCTCAAGAAGCTTCCGCTACCACCCCTTCCCCCCCTTTCCCCTCTTCCTTCCTTCCTTCCTTCCTTCCTTCCTTCCTTCCTTCCTTCCTTCCTTCCTTCCTTCCTTCCTTCCCCTTGCATCTCTCTCCCCTCACCTACCCTCCCCACCCCTCTCCTACTATTCCTTTTCCAATCACTTCCTTTTCATCCTAGTCATTTCTCAATCCTTCCCTCCCACCCATTTCCTACTCTTCATTTTCACCATTTTATTTATTCTTGCTACTTAATTAGCCTAATTCTTCCTACTTATTTATTTTCCTCCACTTCTTCCTACTTATTTATTTTCCTCCACCTCTTCCTCCTCTTTTCCTATTTCCTTCTCTGTCTCCTTCCCTATTTCCTCCTCACCCTCTTCGTTTCCTTTCTCCTCCTCCTCCTCCTCCTCCTTCCTCAGCTACGCCTCCTCCTTCCCCAGATCCTCCTCTCCCTCCCTCCTCTCCCCGTCTATTCAGTTCAATGAATCAGACAAACTCCACAACAACGCTATTGACAGATACAATTTTTGCTGACTCCTTAATCCATATTTTCGCTGCCCTGGGAAATTAAAAGAGAACCAGCGTCTAATCCCACGTAAAATAATTTACCTCCAACTTTTTCAATTAACGTTATCGGATTGTGTGTTGGAATAAGGAGTGGCGCGTCTGCAGACTTGGGGTAATGCCGGTGTTGCTGAGGCAGCTCTTCTGAGCTAAACTCTGGCGATGGGATGGGTGGGTGGGGGTGTGTGTGGGGGAGGCCACCCCACGTCTGTCTCAGTCTTAGTTATGATGCGTGAGGCTCTTGGGCGCGCTTCTGCTGCGGGTTGGTGCTGGTGGTGGGGGTGGAAGTGGTGGTCGTGGTGGTCGTGGTGGTCGTGGTGGTGCTGGTGACGGTCGTGGTGGTGGTGGACGTGATTCCTCCCGAACTGAAGCAGTCTTTCTGGAATTAGACTTGTCGAGTTCGAGACCCCGAACATGCTTGCTGGAATTGAAATACAGTTTTGTTCTAGGAAACGTCGGACTGAACGTAGTTTCAATCCTCACCACCCTGGCTTGTCCCGCTGTCTACACACTACTGCTTCCACAACCACCCACCACAATCTTACTGCAACTGATCCCGTATTGGGCCTTGCTCCCCCAAACGGCGACTTCTCTTGCAGGAACTTGAAACGATTGCTTCCACATCCTACCTTGCTCTACAGGCGCTAAACGTCGATACCTCCAGAAGCCAAACAGAAGCTTCGCCGTTAGAAACAAGAAATCCACCTCCTTATTCAACACAACACCAGCCAGTGAAAATTTTTCGCTGCAACAAAACCCCACCGCTACTAATTGTGCATGAGGACAGGTTAGTGCACTCAACATTGCATCAATTGCACAGAAAGGGGGAGAGGTTGCCATTAGTGTATATAGCAGGGGGATAATTGACCATTTGTGAGTCGAGTCAGGCTGGAGACGCCTATAAGAATACACTCTCGAATTAATTACTCCTGTTCATAATTCATCAAGTAATTACTTACGGACATTGTTGATGTTAAATACGTCCAGGTACCGGGGGAAGTGGTGATTATTTGACCCCATCCACCCCCCCTCCCCACCCTACACCCCGGCGTGGGTCCATGTTTGCGGTAGGAGCATGTGGGAGCGTAGGTTTATAGTTGGGTGTATGTGGGCACGTGGGTATGTGGGTGAATGGACATGTGTCGATATGCGTCACATTATGTTTGCTACGTTTCTGTGTGACAGAGAAACAGACAAGCACGGGATAGAATAATTGTTTACATTTAACCCCCTTGCATATCCTCCCATCGCCCCTCCCACTCTTCCACCCCCACCTTCTCCCCCTCACTTATTATACCCTCTTATCCCTCCCCTATTGTACTCCCCCCTCCCCGTAATTTCACCCCTTAACAAGTGCTCCTACACTCCATCCTTACCCCCCCCTCTCAATCCTAAATCATAATCCCCCCTCCTCCTCCTCCCGTCCCCCTTCCTGACCCGCCCCCCCCCCATTCTTTCATCGATAAAAACAATACAAATCTTTCTTGCGCAATACAGAATGAGCATTTAATCTCGATAATGAAATAATTCAGGTTTATTGCTTCTAAGTGCAGTTCTCCATCAAGGAATATGAATCTTTACAAATAATATATTTGATTACAAATTATATTTATATATATATAATCACTAAGAACTCTCTTTGACCCCGGCCAGGATTCGAACACACGACGTCTAGGATCACCCCTAAACGTACATAGTACCGTGACCACTGCATCATTGATCGTCTTGATGTATATGTGTGTGTGTGTGTGTGTGTGTGTGTGTGTGTGTGTGTGTGTGTGTGTGTGTGTGTGTGTGTGTGTGTGTGTGTGTGTGTGTGTACTCACCTAGTTGTGCTTGCGTGGGGTTGAGCTTTGGCTCTTTGGTCCCGCCACTCCAGGATTGGTCTTACGTATGTGGTATACAAGATTCTGAACGATTCCTTACACATATTCCTGAAGACTGTGTGTGTGTGTATGTGTGTGTGTGTGTGTGTGTGTGTGTGTGTGTGTGTGTGTGTGTGTGTGTGTGTGTGTGTGTGTGTGTGTGTGTGTGTGTATTATGGAAAGTGAAAGTGTACATTCACATTTGTGTACTTACCTGCCAGTGATTGTAATTTCGTAATTGTACGCGAGTACTAGGCCGTACTCGCATAGTTGTACTTGCTAAGTCATACTTGCCAAGTTGTACTTGTGGAGGACGAGTTACACAACCTCGGAGTCGCCTTTCAACCCTCCAACGACTTGTAACATAAGAATCTAAGCCAATTGGGCTCGTGTCATATATACAGGGTGACTCAAAGGGTCTGAACCCAAAGGACGAACTTGCTGAAATCTGATTTGCTTGTCATTTTCCGTGTTAAGTGTGATCACCAATACGTGTGTAGTTTCCGGAAAGCCTGCCTCAACCACGTCAATTCTTATCGCATTCCGTTTGTTTGCTGTTATGAACCATGTGTGTTTGAGTGTGCGTGTTTGAGTGTGCGTGTTTGGGTGAGCGTCTGTGTGCCACTCCCTGTCTCTGTTTGAGTTCATGCGTGCGTGTGCGAGTGCAAGCGCCCGGAGATATCTATACATCATATCACATCATATCACATCATCGATAACGAAGCACAGGAGGACTTCTCAGCTGGCCACAGGAGGACCTCTCAGCTAGCCACAGGAAGACCTCTCAGCTGGCCACAGAAGAACCTCTCAGCTGGCCACAGGAGGACCTCTCAGCTGGCCACAGAAAGACCTCTCAGCTGGCCACAGGAGGACCTCTCAGCTGGCCACAGGAGGACCTCTCAGCTGGCCACTGAAAGACCTCTCAGCTGGCCACAGGAAGACCTCTCAGCTGGTCACAGGAAGACCTACCAGCTGGCCACAGGAGGACCTCTCAGCTGGCCACAGGAGGGACCTGTCAGCTGGCCACAGGAAGACCTCTCAGCTGGCCACAGGAGGGACCTGTCAGCTGGCCACAGGTCAACTACCCCGCCGTCAGAGGGCCGTGGGACACCCCTACCCAAGCCTCGTCAGCTTAAACACCACTACGGACATTTTCACACCCGATTCCCGTGTTAATTATGTGCATGATAAACATAGTTAAATTAATGGCAGGTCCCCCGAGGTCAGGGGAAACACACACACAGCCTCGTTTATGAGCCGGCTGTCTCTCTCTCTTGAAAATATATGTAATAATTTATTGCTCATGTTTTTAATTTGCTTTTATTCGGGTCGCTATTCTAAACGAAAATATTTAAATGTGAAAAAGTCTGTTTAAACTAATGGTAAAAAAATAGCAGTTTGAAGAATGAAATATTCCTGTATTTTGGAACTTTTGTCCCCTCCAGATATATATATATATATATATATATATATATATATATATATATATATATATATATATATATATATATATATATATATATATAAAATTGGAGATTTAATTGTGAAGCTTGAGATTAATATTAAATTTAAACAATAATGAAAATAAATTTTTTGAGTTTATATCAATTTACATATTTTTTTATGTTTCACGTAATGAACAGCCCTCAAAAATACCAATGATATTTGTTTTATTGTATGATAAATTTTCTTACATTCCAAAAACTTACGACATTCTTAAATTCCGAATTGCATTCACTAAGATATCTGTGATGACATTGTTCAGACATAAGTAAACATTGCCCAATAGTAAGTCGATTGTATGTGAATAATAATAATAATAATAATAATAATAATAATAATAATAATAATAATAATAATAATAATAATAATAATACACAGAGGGTAATCAGACTAACGTGGTGTATCAGTGAGAAAATCCGTAGGGGGCCGTGATGAGGATTCGAACCTATGCGGTACAATGCCCATGTCGTAGCCTAGTTGACTAGGGCGTGTAAACACCCACTGCATAGATTCAAACCCTCATCACGGCTGCTACGGATTTCCTCAGTACTAATAATAATAAACACTTATGAGTAGTTTTAATATGAAAACAACTGACTTTCCACGTGATAATCCTAACTTAATTTTGGGTATGTGAGGTGTGACAATCGCTGTAACTAGTCGACAGTCGACCCCCTAACTGTGTACGCTTGTGTCCTCCCCCCGGCAGCCATGGAGGGGGTGGAGCAGCGCCTGGCCTCGCCCATGACGTCTTCAGTGGCACTGGCACCGCCCTGCCTCGACCAGCCGGAGCCTCACCTCAGCAAGGGTAACCAGGTGAGTCTGATGGAGCCTCCTTCATGCTCTCCATCCCCCGTCCTGGCCTCATACTCTCTCCTCTGTAGCACTGTGCGTACATATAATGTTCACATATTATAATTCAATATAATGTACACTCATTATGATTTAACATAATGTATTCGCACATATTATGATTCAATATAATGTACACACACATAATGATTTCAAATAATGTTCAAACATGATTCAATATCTCTCTCTAGGCTCCACCAGTGGAAGGAGCCGAGTCAAATATTCAACAAATATAATAGTTACCCATTTGTTTTGAGAAAGCCTTTGATGTTATGGGAGATTGTATGTTTTATGGTAGAACGGCCAAAGTATGAATAGCAGGGCATTTTTTATTTTCCAGACTTCAGTGAATAATTACTGTTAGGAAAAAAAAATTGTTTTAACATTTCTCTTTTCAAAATATTGAGCTGGGTGTAGCCGGTGGGCACTGCCAAAAATCGTCGATAGGGTCAGAATGTTACTCTGGAACGCTGTTCTTTCTTGAATTCTGGACACCCCGAGCAGTCTATGTCCGTCCCAAACCCCAGACCCTTCCCCCTGCAAAGTTGGGTGAGTCTAGCCCCAAGTGTCTGTCCTCCAACCTTAGACAGACAATTTCCTACATATACAGATACTATATCAATTATTAAATTAAACAAAATCACAACCACGATATGTAATCTAAGATTGTAAACATTTTGGTGCAAACAATGTCCAATAAACTACCATTGTCAGCAAGAAATATTTGTGCAGTCTTAAACTGCTTCTTAGCAGAGGGTGTCCTAGCAACACCTCCCTCAGAGGTAAGTCCTGAGAGATCTTCACGGTGTATGGGCAAGCATTACGCGAGACTACAGGAGGGGAAGGTAAAGCTATATGCTTGAGTGGAGAGGGTTTAGCACACAAGTGAGATAGGGGGTACATCACGTTAGCATTATATAGCTATATGGACACGTTAGCATTATATAGCAGATGCAGCACCATTTAGAAGATGATATATTAGCATGCTGGATGGTAAGCATCATGCATAAGATGATACGGCAGTAAAATACCGGCGAAATATTAAATAATTCATGAATAATGAAGTATAATGAAGGGTGATAAAATAAATGTTAATTACTACACAATGAAGGAGGACATTGTGCTTAGGCTCCATGTAGCATGATGCTCACATATCCGAGGCTCCATGTGTGCCATGAGGCTCACATGAGCATGTTAGCCTCAGCTGGGGTAGGGAGACTTCCACTCCTGGGATTCTGGAGTGGGATTCTCCTACTCATGAGGAGTGGGAGAGCCGCGGAGGAACTGGGAAAGAGAGAATTCCAGAGAAACTTGAGGAATGAGATGGTAGGCGAAGTGACGGAGCTCCCGACGGAGGCCGGGTCAACAAGAGGGGGCGCCCTGCCTACCGCCGCCCTTTGCCCCCTGACCCGTGGCCTAATCCCACTTACAGTCCAGCCGACTCTTAGAGCCGCCACAGACAAGATCAAAGGGCAGCCCAGAGCACGCTTTGTGAGGCCCTGAATAACACCGGCGTCTTGAATACACCAAAGAGACATTCTTAATGACGGCGCCGCTCAAGGCCCCACTCCAAGTATAGAAAACTTGTCTGTTGATGATCCCCACCGATGCCCGCTTAGAGCCGATCCCCCCACCTCATCCCCATCCCCCCAAACCATCCCCCATTCCCCCCCCCCCAACCATCCCCATCCCCCCAAAACCATCCCCTACCACATCTCTTAGCGTAAATAACGACGCATCTGACACCATCTATAGAGTTTTCCAAGACGACACTTTGGTGTCCTCGCCACTCATTCGTGTCTCAAAGCCGGGGATTACAGTCCTGAAGCAAGGATTGAGCAGACCTCACTGAGGTTAATAGCGTTGGAATACCTTGAGACTTCTGCACTAAGCATATATTTGTTCGTATGTATCTTCATTCTTGCTGAAGACGGGGTAACTGGATTAGGACAAAACGGTAAAAGGGAACTTGCAAATACCGACGGCAAGCTTCTCCGCGGTTTTTAAAGCTTATGTACACACACCGCACGCAACGAGGAGATATATACACCAAGAGGTTATTATACTCTGCTTCGCGTTGTATATACACTGAGCTTTTACTCAAGTCTTGGACTATATTCAGGACTAAAGTATACTTGCTGGTTGGTTAGAAAGTTATTGTGGTGGCCTCCAGAAGTTGATAGGCCTTAAGCCCAACATCCCCCCCCAAAAAAAAATAAAAGGCATATGAATTAGCTTATGTGGTTGAGTGCTCGATGTACACCCAATGTGACTTGGGATGCGTGAGAGTAAAAGTGTGTAGCTAGACTCTATTCACGTGGGAAACGGAACGTAGAAGGCAGAGGAAGTGCGTCCAGGAGTCTCAATATTAATCAAACCTTTGGGTTAGATTTAAAATTTAAAGCTCGACTGAGCAGGAAAACAAAATCAGAGGGAGGGATAGGGCTCTGTGGCCCTATCCTCACCTCTGGCCCTATGGCCCTATGTGATGTGTAAATTAAGCAACCATAGATATGGTTGGTAGCAACTTGTTGCTTGGTATATATATTCAAGAGAATGAGACTAGGAGTTGACAGCCCCATGGCGTTGTTATGACTGGCACTCTTCATGAGACGGAGGCGAGCAAAGACTGGCGCTGCAGAGAAGAATGAGTGCAGCAAGGAAGTGATTATCAGAGTGCAAAACACCGCGCGCGTGTCAGGGAACATTCAAGAGTGCCTACACATAGCTCAGAGTGTCAATAGATACCAACAGACACAGAGTGAGGCCAAAGGATTTTGAGACACCGATAATACTATCGAGGGACATACATGACTCTGAGGAACAGTAAGAAAGCAGATTTGGATAATGATTATTAAATGACTGGAAAGTATTCCTCAAGCCACAAGCACAGATGGGAGAACCAGGGACCAGGATTCAGCAAGCAATGACGCATCTATTTACGAACCTGTACCGTTTTTCACAATCTTTGAAGGTGCTGTTTACATTTATTAAACGGTTTACGAGCATCAAACTTCTCCTGGTGCTTCGGAGCTCATAAACTGTTTAATAAATGCAAAACAAAAAGCTGCAAAAGATTGAGAAAATATGTACAGGCTCGAAAGTACTTGCGGAACTGAATCCGGGCCTCCTTGGGATCCTCAGGATACAATACCGGGCCACCAGTGATTGGTGTCGCAATACCGAAGGATCTCTCCTGCTCCCAACAACAGACTAGGGATTATAACGAAGTCCCAAAGAGCTATAGTGGCGTAACGAATCCAGAATTATGAACAGAATCTATAGTTCTCAGTCTAGATGAAATTACCAATGAATGCGGCTCGTACCGACACTTCAGGCTCAACACGCAGACTTTGTGCAGCCGGAAACTGATCGTTAAGACCACACTGGGAGACCAGCTGGAGACGGAAGGCCCGGCACAAGTTAATTACATGAAAATCACCCTTCGCTTCCCTCTGGCACTCCCGAGCAAGATTTCCCTTTGGCCTTCCATTTTCAAAGCATCATGGCAAGTTACGTGATCTGCAGTGCCTTTACAGCAAAATATCTTAAAACTATGAAAATGTGTGGTGAATACGATCAGCCATTAAATACAAATTAAATGCAAGCATAAACTACCAGTAAAACGTTTCTTCTTCACTCTACTAAATAAAGATTCGCACCCACATGCGCACTGTGATACACGATACAGGTGACGAGGCCAACGTTGCAATATTGCATCTCGCTCCCAAAAGCAAATCGGAAAGTGAACCTCAATAGCTTCGTTTGATAATAATCCGGATGTCCACCAACACTGAAATAGACGCTCCCTCGCGTCCAGCCCAGCCTCTCTACCTCCCAACCTCACCAATTCAGAGACTTACCACCCCCTCCGCACCTCGACTGTCTACCATCCCTGAATAAAAAAAATATTTTGCTTTCTCGTGACAAACTTCTTGGAATTTCATTTATAGATAATTCTGAATTTCTCCTTAAACACTGGAAATCCATGAACGTGTTAAGGTTATTCGTCTTGAAAGCACTGTCTTGAAGGCAGTGAGAGGAGAAGGACCAAGGAAGATGTGTTTGAAGAGCGAGAGTGCTTACACACAGCCTCCCTGCCTCTTGTATTCACTCCCAGGGATCTTTTCTTTAAGAAAATCTCACCCGTGGCTGAACACTTTGAGAGAGGCGCGAGAAGTTTTTGGCTAACGTAAATTCTGCAGAAGTGTTTCTTTTCTGGCTGATATTCAACACAGCAAAGTGTAAAGAACTCTACATAAAGACCAGGAAAGCGTAACCTCCTCATGCGCGTATTTACACATGCGCAACTGTGAAGAAAAAAAACCGGTAAACATTCAGATTTCCCGCGCGTTTGAATTTGAATCTCCCACACGATTACATCAAAGGCGCGTAGGTCAAAGGGTGCCAATTAGTGAAGATTTGTTCTTGAGGTGCGTGTGGGGGGTATTATGCGAGCGTGTTTGTTCTCTGCTACACCCATCCCCTTGCTCTTTGTCCAATCATATCCACCCTCCTGCATTCTCAATTGCACCCGACGTCTTTTTGTTAAATTCACTCACTCATTGTACGTCTCTTTACGTTCCAGCCTCTTCTTTTTTATATATAGAAGCGTCTTCAATTAAACGATTGTTGGGTATATAGTCCACAAGAACTAAAGTGGCATAAACAAAAAAAATTGAACATTCTGAAAAGGTATTTCGGGAGTTAATCCATAGAGTATTAAGAGTTATCCGGCGTTCAAGAGCACAGTATTGACTGGAACTCTTACCGGCGGCGCGTTAATTATTTGTCTCCTGGAAGCTGGACGCGCCAATTAGTATCCGAGCGTGTTTTTTTTATATTTTTTTTGTGTATTTTAATTGGTTCTGGTTCGTGAGGACATCAACGAGGCGATATTTGCCCCAGTGTATCATACGCTCCAGAATATGGAGTGTGACACGTGCATTATTTTTGCGGAAGAGAATGACAGGCCAGAGAGGTGATGAGGTGTGAGATGAGAGATGAGGTGTGAGATGAGAGCTCAGGTGTGAGACGAGAGATGAGGTGTAAGATGAGTGCTGATGACCAAAGTTTTCCCGTACCTAAGGGAAAAGTTAGAGTGAATCTGGCGAACAACTGTACATTACCACTGAGTGCCAGACTACCCGGACTTGCCTCTGATGCAGAGTCTTAACATAAGCAGATCAGAGATGGTAATTCCATTAATTACAAGCTAGAGATTCAATCCCCTCAAAGTGTGGTGGAAGGGGGAGGAGACTACACCATCCGTCTCCCCCTTCCCCCACCCATTCCTCGACCCATTTCCCCTCCTCTATCCCATCGCAATACCCATCCCCTCGCCACCCAGTACCTCACCCCTCTCTCACTTCTAACCTCAACCAACCTCTTTTTTTTTAACACAGGTGGGTACAGGAACGGACGACTTCTGACTCCTGTTAGCAGGCTGAGAGCTTTTCCCCTTTCCTATAGCTCATTGTAAGCCTTAGTCACTAACTTTTCCTGGAACTCGACCCGCCAATCGGTTTACAACCAGGTCCCCAATTACAGCTGGGTAAAGAGGATCGACTCCTGGCCAATCCTGGGTAGGAGTCGAACCTAGATTAAATCGCTCGAGAGACGCGATTACCACTACGCCACTAGCGAGGAAAATATTTGAACTTGCAACAACATGATGTTCTGACCGGAACTTTTAATAGATAAAAGTTCCGGTCAAGACGGACAGCTGTAGAACTTCTCGCCCTTAAATTCTAATATACAAAAAGTCACAATTTAATACGTCGTTTGTGAATAGTGTATAATCTCTGCCCGCTTACACAAACCCAAAATTTCCAGCTATACATGGAAAGTACCTAACCTTTAATGCAGCGATATCTTGTGTTTCAATTGTTACTACGATAACTGGGCCTCGGTGAGACTGTTGCAGATGCACGGAATCAGTTCGGAGCCTGTGTGTGTCCGAGCATTGCTGGCGAAGGTGTGTGTGTGTGTGTGTGTGTGTCCGGGCGTTGCTGGCAAAGGTATGTGTGTGTGTATGTGTCCGAGCATTGCTGGCGAAGGTGTGTGTGTGTGTGTGTCCGAGCATTGCTGGCGAAGGTGTGTGTGTGTGTGTCCGAGCATTGCTCACAAAGGTGTGTGTGTGTGTGTGTCCGAGCATTGCTCACAAAGGTGTGTGTGTGTGTGTGTCCGAGTGTTGCTGGCTAAAGTGTATTTCCTCATAGGTACTAACGAGGGCGTGTTTCCTCGGAGGTCCTAAACGAGAATATATTCCTCAGGTCGGGACGGTGATGCTGTACGGGGTTCCCATCGTCTCCCTCAACATTGATAACATCGAGCGCCTCTGCCTGGCCCAGATCTCCAACACTCTACTCAAGGTGAGAACCATATCCCACTCCAAGCTAACGTCACCGCTAAACAAACTCTATATAATGCTACTCTTACAAGACAAGCGGGAGACACAAGTAAACTCTCAAGAAATTGGATCATGAATATATTTTTGCGAAATTGGGCGATATTTTTAGTTGGTTTCTACGAGAAAGGGATAATTTTGAAGCTTGCTTTTACATCAACTTAATTATAGTCTTTACGACGACTGTATTACAGTCGTAATAATGACTGACTGCATTAATGCCTTTAGAAGTTCGCGTGAAACTTTTCTTTTTTTGTCTTTGTATGCTGCTTCTATTATCGCGTTATAGTGCGTTACGCAAGGTTAATGGTAATATTTAGGTGGGTGTACTAGTGGGTGCTCGGGTGTGGGAGTTGATTGTTCCTCACTGCACTCCCAGTGTACTCCTCCATACCCCCACCCCCCAGCCCCCTTCTCTCCCACAGTAAACTGAGGGAGTATTCATTCAGGGTAGCAAAGATATTCTTTTTCCTCCCACAGTTGCCTCTCCTATACTACTTTGTTCATCTTTTTTTTTGTATCTCTATTTTCTTCTGTCTCCTCTCCCCCACACCCCCGCCTCACTCCCCTTCATTAATAACTTACTTTTTTCCTTTCGTTTGTATAACTCTTGCCTCACTCTCTACTGTTGCCTGTCCTTACTTTCCCGCCCTGCTTCCCTGGCACTATCCCATCCCTCTCCATCATCCTCATCCTCTTCTACAACTTTCCCTTTTTCTCTCTTCCTGCCTCTACAACTTCTTCTCATTCTCCTCCCATTCGCCTGTTGTTCCTACTCCCTTCCTCTCTCCTCCAGCTCCTTCCCCCCCCCCTGCTTTATCCTTCCTCCTCTTCTGTTCGTATATCTTCTCCTCCTCCTCTCCCCCACACCTACGTTCTCCTTGGACCACACCAGCTGATAATGTCTGTTTTGGGTGTGTGTACTTCAAGCAGGAATTCAGCTACAACGAGATTCACAACCGGCGGGTGGCTCTGGGCATCACCTGCGTCCAGTGCACACCTGTCCAACTCGAGATCCTCCGGAGGGCGGGAGCGATGCCCATCTCCTCCAGAAGGTCAGAATCACCTGCGGGCGTCTTATGTATTCTGTGTGCAGGAGAAGAGCTAATGAACATATCCACAAGGGCCGTGATGAGGGTTCGAACCTATATCCGAGAGGATCCCAGGCGTGCCTTAATCGACTGTGCCACGACAATGGTTATATCCCTTGTGGATTTGTTCATTTGATGCATCACGCTATTGTGATTTCTGTGTGTAACAGCTAATGAGTTTATACTAATTATTTGCTAAAAACTTTTCTTCTGGTTATTGATTTGTTGTTGGTGTTTTTTTTTTAATAAGAGATAATTTCACATTTTTGACGTGTCTCTTTTAGGCTCATGAACTAGTGTGTAAATAGAGAGATTAATATTCTGTGTTTTTAAAGTATGCGCGTACTCGCCTATTTGGGCTTTCTGTGGTTGAGTCTCAATTCTTGGATCCTGCTTCTTAATATTCAGTTGAACAATGCACAGGCACTTTGAGGAACGTCATATCTGTATATGAAGCTCTGTATGAAGGCTGCCTCCGCCATTTCACATTTTAGTACACTTCATTTATTGCATAATCTGCCCTTGAACTAATTATTTATAATCTCAATGTACTTAAGTTTCTCTGTTTCCTTGGTTTTGTATCACTTAGCACCCTGGCCTTGTTTGCCTGTCACCTCTGTAGATGATTTTGCATGGATGTGTGCAGACAATGAGTCTAGGGCTGAAAATTATACACCAAACCCACACATCTGAAAATAAAGTAAGTGAGGTTTGGTCCATTCCAAACCTCACCAAACCTCATTATGGTGAGGTTTGGTCCGTCGTGTAAAAAAAAAAGAGTGGTAGAGAAAGTCGCTAAAACTGGTAAGACTGTGAGGGTTAAAAGGGGAGAAAGTAAGAAGTATAGGATAGAAGTTAAGAGAAATAAAGTAAACTGAGGACGTCCTAATAATGGCACATAGGCCATCAAGGCTTCCGCAGATTTCTTTTATTCCTGTTGTCCTATGGTATAATTCTTGTCTTCTTGATTTTGACCTCACATTCTGACCTAATACATCGACTTTCTCTCTGCCACTCTTTCTTTACACGACGTGATAATAGTTTGGGACGGAGCAAACTGTCACTTTATTTTTAGACGTGTGGATTGGGTGTCTATACTCGCCTGGTGTGTGTGTGTGTGTGTGTGTGTGTGTGTGTGTGTGTGTGTGTGTGTGTGTGTGTGTGTGTGTGTGTGTGTGTGTTCATTCCTTCGCAAGCTCACTTACTACAAGTATATACGTGAAGTCATACGCGAACTTATATTAGCTGTACATGACGAGGGGGGCCCATACCCCGCCACATCTCGCCACAGTCTCCGTCTTGCCTCACACAGGTGCGGAATGATCACTAAGCGAGAGGCCGAGCGGCTGTGCAAGTCCTTCCTGGGCGACAACTCACCGCCCAAGCTTCCGGAGAACTTCGCCTTTGACGTGATGCATGAATGCGCTTGGGGCTGCCGCGGCTCCTTCGTCCCCTCCAGGTTGGTCTTCACAGATTCCATAAGAACATACTTCCAGCTTCTTTGAGCATATGCCGACTGGAATACTAAGATCGCGACCATGAAAACAGTAAATTTAGCGAGGCAAATCTGGCGTAGAAACGTTTTTTAGTGCATAACGAGCTCAAAGTCAATTGTTTTATGTTTGTGTGTTCACTCTCGATGTTGTTGGTGTTTGAATGTTGACCAGACCACACACTAGAAGTTGAAGGGACGACAACGTTTCGGTTCATCCTGGACCATTCTCAAGTCGATTGTGACTTGAGCACAATCGCCCAGCCCTAACACTTCTTGGTGTTTGAAGTTCTCACGTGTTTAGCCTGCTTCTCTTACTGGCTTCGTGACAAGGGTGTTAGGCTTCACCTAACACCTAGCTCGTATTACTAAAAAAAAAAATCATATGAATAATCCCTTAAAATATCCAGTGATAAAGGCGGTGCTGATTTAGAGTGGGTCTGTCTGTGCCGCCAGATACAACTCGTCCAGAGCCAAGTGCATTAAGTGCCTGTACTGCGCCATGTTCTTCAGCCCCAACAAGTTCGTGTTCCACTCGCACCGGCTGGCCGATAGCAAGTACGTGCAGCCGGACGCCGCCAACTTCAACTCCTGGCGGCGGCACATCCGGCTGTCGGGGGAGCCACCGATGGACGTCCAGCATGCGTGGGAGGACGTCAAGGCCATGTTCAACGGCGGTACCAGGAAGAGACTGATGGCAGCTAGCACTCAGGTAAGGCATCACCAGCTCCTCTGATTGGTATGACTGGCTGAGGGCGCCCACATCGCCGCTTCTAATGCCAAATTAGGTCATCGTCTTTTATAATTAAATGCCGTTTAGCTTGCAATATTTGGACAAAAAATACAACGTTAAATGCAGGGCTTAGGGTGTATACCCCATGCTGCATACGTCTCTGTATAATCTGACAGCTTACTTAAAAAACTATGATGAGAAAGTATATCTGATCCAAGGTACAGCGCGGTCATATGGACTGTCGATTACCACAGTATTATATATATATATATATATATATATATATATATATATATATATATATATATATATATATATATATATATATATATATATATATATATATTCGCGTGCTGAAGAAACCGTTGCGTCACTGCACGTAATGCGTCAATGGCGTTCATATTTGCGTCACGCGGTAATCTATTGTATACTAACCCCCTCCCCCCCCCTACACACACACATACATAATGTGTGTAGCATACATATGTATGAGTGTGTGTATATATTTGCATTGTTTCAATATGCATTATTAACTATTCAATAGTTCAGAAATGATCTAAACTAGGATATAAAAAGTTGATATTCTAGAGCAATGACACAATGGTTGATATAGGTGCCGCCAGGCGCTGTCTGGCGGCCCGACTCACAGTTACCAACACATGTCTTCGGCAGCGCCGTGTGTTTCCCCAGGGGCAAGGCTCCCGCATGTCCAAGGCGCCGCGACTGGACACGCCGCTCACCAAGCCGCCATCCTTCGCCCCGCCGGCGCTGAAAACCGTGGGCGCCGATCTGGCCTATCCGCCGCCCTACCTGGCCCCGCTACCCCCGCCCTATCCCTCCCATCACAAGGACGCCCACCAGACCTTCGTGGACTACCTGTGGGGAACCAGAGGGTCGTTACCGCCCCTTGGCCTGCCGTACCCACTAGCGGCGTGGCCCAGACGACCCCTACCCAGCTTCCCACCGCTGCCTCTCCCGGACCCCAGATCTGACCCGACTTCTGATCCCCGACCAACCGACGCAGAACCTCCCGCCCTCCGGCCGGCGCACTTGTCGGCGTTCACACCGGTGACCCGAGCGTCGCCCACGCCCACGGGGAGCACCGGGCGGGACTCGGGGGCGCCGCTCCCGGACTCCAGCAGACACTCGGACGATGAAACTGTCGACATCGAGGCCACAGACGACGACGCCGACCACAAAAGCGACGGCTACAAGAGCGACTCCTACAAGCACGAACTTTACAAAAGCGAGGCCGTCAAGCCAGACAGCTACAAGCCCAGTAGTTCGACGAAGCACCACAGTTTAGATACAGACCACTACAAGAGCGACAGTTATAAGCCGGACGACCTCAGAAGCGACCATGGCCCCGGCGAGGCGGAGGTAGAGGAGAGCTCTCGTGTTCTGTCCCGTCAGGAGGACAGAACACACAAGGAGGACCACGCCCGTGTCGCCCACGTCCGTGTCAGCAGCCCAGTGGCCAGCTCCAGCACCAACAGCCTGGAAACCTCCCGCCCAATCATAGAGGTAAGTCACAAACTAGACAACAACTTTCCTAAACAGAATTGTTATCTATTCTTTTTAATACCATTCCACAAAATGGTATTTATTTGTAATATTTTTTGTCTTCCATTTATTTCATTATAAAAATAGTGTTACTCATTATACCATAATGTATAATTTACTGACAAAATCTTACCGTTATCAATCTGTTTTTATACATAACAACATCTTACTTCTTTAAGTAGCTCGTAGGAGCTACTTCAGGTATGTTTCCTCTCACCTGTGGAAGTGACCTTCCAGTGGAGGTACACAACCTTAGTGACGGTGGGGTGTTGGTGGGGGAGGGGGAGATGGTGGGTGGGGTGGTGGGGGGGATGGAGGGAGGGGTGAGGGACACAAAGTGATATTCCATCCACAAGATGGTTGCTGGGAATGGTGAGGTAATTATGTGGAGAAAGCACTAAGCCAGTACGACGATAGAGCACTTGGAAGTGATATGGGGATAGGGAGCTGGGATAGGACGGAATTAAGGAATGGTGCTTAGCTACTTGAACCTTCGGTGATCGAACGCCGACCTGCAAAAAGGCAAGGCCGCCGCTGTATACCGACTGGAATACAGCGTAGAGACCTGAGTGGCGTGTCGAAGGCTCAGCTAGCATTCTCATCTCAGGTTCCTGAGAGCAAAGGCTGTGCACACCCTCGACAGGAAGCATTGTCTGGGCGCCAGTTTTTAATTGACCGCCTCTGTTCACCCAGAAGTAACCGAGTACCTGGTTGTTCACCCAGTGGCAGGTCGTGTTCCAGGGAAGCCTAGCGGGTAATGCTTACCATGAGCAATAGACGGAAAACAGCATTCTGAAGGGTTGAGCAGTACGACTCAGCAAGCCTAATTACTCAAGTAAACGCCCGTGCGCCCATGCACTCAAATTCACGAATGTGTTGAAACAAAATTGATGCATAACAACTGGATTATTATGTATAATTTCTTCAAAAAATTACAACAAAGTTTCATAATACTGAACAATAAAGATTAAAAAATAATGAACGGGCCGAATTACTGGAGGGTTCTAGCGTCTATCATCCAGGCTAAAACACAAGAAAAAATATAAATATGATTTACACATGAACGTGCCGTCAAACACACTAGTCACTAACCTTGCATAAATGCAGTCTTCAAAGAAGCTATTGCCACCAGTCGTCCTCACGTGTACTCGACTTGCTGAACATACACACTATGTGCATCTGCCCACACACCTGCCCTCACAAAACACGTGTGTTCAGTTAACAACACCTAGCAGTTAAAAAAAATGTACACACATACACAGGTCACAAAATGTGCACACACATGTACTATCCGAAATTGGCACACCAGCCACATAACGTACACACACACACACACACACACACACACACACACACACACACACACACACACACACACACACACACACACACACACACACACACAGGGGCCTCGTAGCCTGGTGGATAGGGCGCAGGATTCGTAATTCTGTGGCGCGGGTTCGATTCCCGCACGAGGCAGAAACAAATGGGCAAAGTTTCTTTCACCCTGAATGCCCCTGTTACCTAGCAGTAAATAGGTACCTGGGAGTTAGTCAGCTGTCACGGGCTGCTTCCTGGGGTGTGTGTGTGTGTGTATAGTGTGGAAAAAAAAAAGTAGTTAGTAAACAGTTGATTGACAGTTGAGAGGCGGGCCGAAAGAGCAAAGCTCAACCCCCGTAAAAACACAACTAGTAAACACACACACGCATGCACTGTAGCCACAACGCACACACACACACACTCTACTACAACAACGCACACACACACTACAGCAACAACCGCAACACTTTCACCAACAAACACACTTGACCAAAGAGCCAAAGCTCAACCCCCGCAAGCACAATTAGGTGAGTACACTGGAGTCAAAATACACAAGTGTGTTTCTCTGGTATACAGCTACCATCGATTCCTTTCATAAAGTTTTCGCATCGAGAAGATAATTCGAGAGGGATTAATAGTTTTTCTATCGTTGTCTGTGTGATCACTGAGAGACGCGAGAAAGGAGCTCGCTAGTGGTCCCTTCGATCACAGAGACGCGAGAGAGGAGCTCGCTAGTGGTCCTTCCGATCACTGAGAGACGCGAGAGAGGAGCTCGCTAGTGGTCCCTCCGATCACTGAGAGACGCGAGAAAGGAGCTCATTGTCCCTACTCTCCCCCCCCCCCGTGAGAAAGGCGCCACAAGTCAACACCTACAAATAAAAATAAAAAAATAAAGTCTAAGTAGGGCTTGTGTTTGTCACAAGCCCCTCCCTCCCATTACGGGAATTCAACTTTCCTATGCAAATGAAGGCTACAGCGTAATGCATAAGGGAGTGGCACTATAATCAATGATCAAGATGTGTTTGCGCTAGTGATGTCTAACGCGCCATGACCCCCGCCGCTGCTAAGAACTCCCGGCCAATAATTTAACCAGTTACACACACCGAGAAAATCGCCGGTAAACAGAATTACACGAGCCGGAGCAAAGGCTGGAGGAGCATTATGGAAGGAGTATCGACTTGCTCACATAATGGCCAAATTGTTCACGGGCAGGTATACTCGTGACGTGGCCGATTATTATTATTTGTTAAACACTCACGGTTGTCCGGCATGAAGGACATCTGGAAGGAGGTCGGTGTGCGCTGGGAGGAGGTCGGTGTGCGCTGGGAGGAGGTCGGTGTGTGGTGGGAGGAGGTCGTTTTGCGCTGGGAGGAGGTCGGTGTGTGCTAGGAGGAGGTCGGTGTGTGCTGGGAGAAGGTCTGTGTGTGCTGGGAGGAGGTCGGTGTGTGCTGGGAGGAGGTCGGTGTGCGCTGGGAGGAGGTCGGTGTGCGCTGGGAGGAGGTCGGTGTGTGCTGGGAGGAGGTCGGTGTGTGCTGGGAGGAGGTCGGTGTGCGCTAGGAGGAGGTCGGTGTGTGCTGGGAGGAGGTCGGTGTGTGCTGGGAGGAGGTCGGTGTGCGCTGGGAGGAGGTCGGTGTGTGCTGGGAGGAGGTCGGTGTGTGCTGGGAGGAGGTCGGTATGCGCTGGGAGGAGGTCGGTGTGCGCTGGGAGGAGGTCGGTGTGTGCCGGAAAAGAAGTTGGCGTGACCTGATGCACGAGACGTACGCACAACCACCTTCATCAAATTCAGTGTTCTTCCAGACGAGGGCCAGATACTGCCTGCCGTTCGTCTCCACGCCTACTAGCACCTGATTACCTCACTCTGGTTAGTCAAAGTCTTAAGAGCGCTCAAGGCATGCACGGAGCCTGGCTACAAGGGGTCGTGGGGGGCCCATGGTTAAGATCCCCCTCCGTCCGTCAAGAAGTGATGGAAGACCCGCTCCCACTGTTGACCTTCCTTCCCTCTGCCTCGCTTATTTGCATATCATGTTGAAGTGTGTGTAGTTGCACTATATCATCGCACTTCGTGTAACACCTCTGATCCCCATGTGTTTGGCAAGTATATCGCCTCTCATAAATTCTTGAATGTATCTTTGGAGTGCAAGTGAAGTGTACAGAACGATAAAAGACCGAGGGGAAAATTACCCACAGGTATGCTACGTCCTAATGGTGCTGCGACTCCCCAACTGAATCTTCGATTCCAATATACCACCGTAACGTCTAGGCAAGAAAATGGGTTGACAAATAAATTTCAGTAATATGTAATATAAAAAAAAAACGAGTAAATGCAGAACGTGCAATCCAATTAAATTTGTAGATGTCCGCCGCTTGTCTCGTTAATAAAGTCCACCGAGAAATGAACACCTGCACGATATAATTCCTACAAATGGTGATAAGAAGTGCCGCTTGATGCGGACCGGCGACAGCGACCAAACAAGGTGGTGGTATCGACTCGAGTCGGCAGGAGCGCTTTACCTCTCCGGGTCTTGCCGTGAAATGTGATTACAAGTAATTGAGGGAAGTGGCGAGTCCCACCTCAATGGTAAACAGCAGAACGTCGACCCTCCCTCCTAATTGTTAGCGCCACTCAGGCTCCTCACTGCTTACCCGACAATTACCCAAAGCTTTTCTTGTTGGTTATATGTCGTAATGCTCCTCTCTCTCTCTCTCTCTCTCTCTCTCTCTCTCTCTCTCTCTCTCTCTCTCTCTCTCTCTCTCTCTCTTGCCCCCCTGGAACAACAACAGCGCCTGTCGGAGTGAACAGAATGCTATACGGGAAACCATGCACTGCGGGTGGGTGTCTGTAGCCAGTGAGGGGCACGACTATATCTGCTCCGTGTGTGTGTGTGTTTTAGGGTTGAGTCACAGGCGAGCGTTTCACTTCACCATTACTCTGAATTCGTAAAAGCGCAGCGTAATTATAGTGTGAAATATAATGAGTGTGGCAAGTAGTCTTTTACGCAATCTAATGCCGGCTTTCATAATGCAAGGGAGCGTACGCTCCAGTTTTAAGCGGTAGAAAAGCGAAACAATTGTTATCGTATTCTTTGTAATTTTTGACAATTTGCCAGTGCAAATGGATATTATGAAACTCAAGTTACTCTCCATTACCACATGCTTCCGCTCAGCCTACGCTGCCCTGTAATTCAGAAGCCGCCTTCCTAAACTCAACGTTTACCAAGCTTTGATGAGAGTTGAGTCAGATGGGCTCGAACCCGCGGCGCTCTCAAGCTAAAGCCTTGCACCACCGGGTACAGTATCACATGTTGCAAGCACCTCCAGAAACACTATTACAAAATGGAAATATAAACGGCTGCGTTTTTCATAAATATATTCCTTCAATTATTATTTAATAACTCTTTTGGGGACACGTTTAACACTGTTGGTAGAATGTGGTGCTCTTTTTTTGTCCTCAGATGCCAAATCCACTTCTGTATGTCTGTCTGTCTGTCTGTCTGTCTGTCTGTCTGTCTGTCTGTCTGTCTGTCTGTCTGTCTGTCCAAAATTGGAGGCCAGAAGCTTGGGGCTAGCCTAGCAATCTTTACAGGGTGACGGGTCATTGTTCGTGGAGGGTCACAGGAAGGTTAGGGTCGAGCCTCATGATG